AAGCAGCGCCCTTTCTGGGGAATTTCCAGAGGGGTGGGAGCTGGCCGGGCGCTGGGCTGTGTTCTGTTTGCCCCCCACCCTGTGGGATTGCGAGTCCACCACAGCGTGGGGACCGAGGCTTAACGAGGAGGGAGCCCCACTGAGGCCCCGCAGCCAGGCCTACTGCTCCCCACACCCCCTCCTCACCTCTGACCGGGTGGCCGGACCTCAGCATTTGGGAGGCGCCCGGAAGGGGGACATGCAACTGAGGGCCATGCTCGAGCCCTTCCCAGGAGGGGCCTGGAGAAGGCTCCGGAAGACCAGCTCTCCTCCTGACAGTGCTCCAGTTGCCTGGCAACAGGTGGCTGTCTTCACTGGCAGCCCTGGGGAGGGGGTTCCTGGCTGTCACAGTCAGGGTCCCAGAGCCGCCCGGCCAGGCTTTCTGCAGACCCTGCACCCAGCACCTGCTGTGTCCTGCCTGTTGGCAGGTGAGGAAGTGTTCACGGTGCTGCCCCCAGGGCCCAGCGTGCAGTCGGTGCTCAATAAGTGTTTGGCAAGTGAGCAAAACAGAGAGAGCGCGGAGAACAGAGGGAATCAGGAGAGAAGCACGAGAACGCAGAAAACGGAGAATCAGGAGAAAATGGAGAGATCCTTGACCTTTCAGCCTTGACCCCTGACCCTGACCCTAACCCATTTTCTCCCGATTCTCTCTGTTTTGTGCATTCTCTCCGTTTTCTGATCCTCTCCCCAGAGGAAAGAGCTACCAGGCACCTGCTGGCCCTTATGTTCACTGTGGACGCTCCCTCCCGGTGAAATCTCTGTGAAGACAAGAAAGATATAGGTGTTTGTTTGTTTGTTCCTGGCCGTGTCCCTGCAGCCTGGGACCGCGCCTGCACACAGTCCATGCTCAGTAAGTATCTGAAGGAACCAATGCCTGTTCTCTCGTCACCTGTCTGTCTTCACCAATTCCCTCCATCATGTCCCGCCTCCCCTGGCTCCCACCCGTCTGCCTGCCAGTGCCCACACCCCCTCAGCCCCCGTGTACTTTCCGGGGCCCAATACCAGCTGCGCCCGGCGTGCGGCCAGCACTCAGCGCCTATAGGTGAGAGTCCTGACGGTCAGCGCCAGGCAGGCCCAGGGCCAGAGCCGGGTGAGCCAGCGAACATGGGGCATGTTCTGGGGGGATGTCCCACAGCCCATGGAGAGGACAGGCCCTGCCCGGGACAGGGGACCACTCACTCCGCCTGGGAGACTGTTTGCAAGTCCCAGGGGGCCAATGGACAAAGGACCTTCGAGGTGGAAGCCGCAGATCGGCGCGAGCCCGAGCGCCCCCAGGTGGGCGCCACGGGCATTGCGGGCAACACACTGGGAGCCTGTCAGACTCATCCTGGTGGTTTCCGTTGCCATGGAATTGTACACGTTGCTTCACGTCATTCCTTTGCTGATCCTGACTCTGGGCTTGTCTTTTTCACATTCCCGGATCTTGTATATTTTTCTTAGGTTTATCCGGTGTTTCTATCATTTGTCTTTGAAAAGGAAGCAGCCTTGAAAAACCAGCTTTTTGGGGGAATGCATTTACCCTTTCTACTTATCTCCTAAACTCCCCAATTTCCTCATTTTCTTTGTTGGTTTTCTTTTCTTTTTCATTATGAAAAATCCCAAACTAGTTCAAGCGTTTTAAAAAAATATGTTTTTATTGATTTTTAGACAGAGAGGAAGGGAGAGGGATGGAAAGATACAGGCTTTCCACTTAAAAACTCACCCTTTTGCAAATTAAATTCACTCCTTTGCAAAGCAAAATCACCCTTTTGTAAATCATATTCACTTTGGGGTGAAAACAGAGTGAAGTTAAAACACTGATGAGAAACATCGATCGGCTGCCTCCTGCACGCCCCCTACTGGGGATTGAGCCCACAATCCAGGCATGTGCCCCGACCGGGAATCAAACAGGTGACATCTTGTTTCATGCGTCAACTGCAACCATTGAGCCACACCGGCCAGGCCAAACTAGTTTGAACTGTATCATCTATTTGCACAAGACGACGGCTGGGCTCCTCCCAGCTCCCTGGCAAACCCCATCTTTCGGTCTTTGGGTTCCTTCAGGCGTCTCAGGGCATTGAAGCTGGACTCGGATGAAGGGACTTAGGAGCTGACGTTACGGAAAGCAGACTCGCACACTGTTGACAGGTTTGACGGAGTCACAACAGGATGACGCCAAGTCGGCAACTGCTCCCAGGAGGCAGAGGCTTAAACTCATCGACTGCCACCTGGAGACTGCGTGTGGGACAGGAAATCAGATAAAAGACGCTGCCGACCTCGCAGGATCGGCCTGTCAGCTGCCTGTGAATGGACCTCTGCCCGTCTGCAGACCCTCCTACGCACGCAGAGGGCTCCCGGCAGCTAGCGCGTGTGGCCAGCTGCGCGCAGGGTCAGCACAGACCACCGGGCCACTGCGTGTCCTCTGAGGGGAGGGGTGCGGTCTTCCCAAGCATTTCCGCGTGCAGTTCCCACATCGTCTCTGAACAGCATGCGTCACCTGCACGCTGAGACCGAATGTGTGCAGCCCCCCCTCCCCGAATGCTGAGGGCCCAGGACCTGCCCAGGAAGCGGGAGCCGGCCCAGGGCCCAGACACACAGCGCGCGCCCTCTTCAGGGACCGGCTCGCACGCCCGCGAGGCACCGGTGGACAGACGAGCAAGCGGCTCCTTGGGCTCTGACTTCAGAGGGACACGCCTTGTCGGAAGGAAAGAGCTTTATTTCGTGTGGAATCTCCATAAAGTCAGTTATAGAAGCGCCCGGTGAGCTCTCGCCCACAGGACGTGAAGACACACAGGACACCGGTTGCCACGCCAGCCGGCCCCTCCCGGGAGCGCTTCCCCCCGACGGCCCAGCACCCTCTTCTAGGCCAGAAAACTGCCTGTCATACAGGAAGAGTCTGTGACCACAGTGACCAGGACGCATGAACTGAGAACATTTCAACACCTTCCTACGAACCCCAAGGTGTAAAAAATGGGGGATTACGTCCCTTCAAGTAGGTTCTGGCCACAGATGAGCTCGTCGCTGCAGCTCAGACGGAATAGCTCCTCCGCCCCGTCCTGTCGGCGCTTGTCCGTCACCCACTCACCCTGGTGGAGGTCAGAGGTCAAGGACACGGTTGTCAAGGAGACAGCAGCCGGCCTGGATGACGCCCCACCTGTGTGACGCCCCGTTTTAAACTCTGCAGAAGTGACTGGAACCTTTCAGTCCTCACGGAGCCCCCCAGCCCCCGGGACCTGGGTGGCGTTTGGGAAGTGAGGGTCCCGGCCGGGGCCCTGACCCTGAACACACACTGTGCTTCGTCTGCGACCCCTGCTCGGGGTCCTGCCTGGAGCGCCCTTCGAGCATAAACCCTGCCACCAACGGCGGGTGCAGCCTAGTACTGCCTGGCCAGCCTAGATGTTTAAAAGGGGAACAAGTACTTAAGTCTATGACGCAATCGGAGCTCAGACAGTTCCTTGAATTCTGTGTTCCCAATATCTGATTATTCCAGCCACACCCGATTGTAAAGCAGTTTTTATGAGCAAGTCAGCCTTTATCAGATCAAATCATCCCTGTTGATTTTTGCAGAAGCAACTGTTGGTTTTACCCCATTTTCCGGGTTCAGGGGAACTGTGGACTCAGGAGCACAGAGCTTCCGGGAGGAGGGAGCGGAGGGAGCTGGTGAGTCACTAAATGGGTGAGAGCACTTCCTGCACCAGAGGCCCCGGCTGCTGCTCTGAAGCAGATGAGTGTCATCCTGTCCCTGAACAGCCACCACCTGAGGCCATCACATCCGAGCTGCCCCCAGAGCTGTGTGGCGGGGCTCAGGCCGGGGAGAGCAGCACAGAGAGCATTATTTACATCTCGGCGGGACCTGGTCACTGGGAAGGGAAGTGTCGTGTGTGTGTGTGTGTGTGTGTGTGTGTGTGCGTGTGCGCACATGCGTGCGCGCGGGGGACTCTGTCTGCAGGGTGTGGGCACTCATGTTTTTCTCTGAAGCCTGAACCCGCCTGTGCGGCAAGAACAGCACCAGCCTATGAAGAGACCCCCAAGGCCACACACACCGCGAGGACAGGCCTGAAACCCGAGCACATGCTCCCAAGACTCCAAATACAAAAGAAAGGCTGCAATTAACGCGCAGGGACATCCGAGATGAACGGAAACATATCTGAGAAAGAGGGTTTGGAATGGAACCCGCAGCCGGGTGGCTCAGGGGTTGAGCATCGACCTATGAACCAGAAGGTCAGTCTGATTCCCAGTCAGGGCACAGGCCGGGTTGTGGGCTCGAGCCCCAGTGAGGGGCGTGCAGGAGGCAGCCGGTCCATGAGCCTCTCTCATCTCTGATCTCTCTCTCTCCCCCTTTCTCTGAAATCAATCAACATATATTAAAAAAAAAATGAGCCCACAGCCCATCAGGCTGTGCTCTGCGTGTGCTCGTGCCTGCAGCTCTCACCGATGTTATCACCCATCATCCCCCGCAGAGGGCTCCCCTCGGGGGCACAGGAGAGGCGGGATCAGGGGTGCCAGTCGCACGGTCTGAGAAGCCCAGCTACCGTCCAGTTTTATTTCAACAGGTTTTGGTAAGAGCTGAGCAGCCTGGAGTCCAGCGAGGCAGCGTGACATTCCTCTAGAACAGCAGTTCTCAACCTGTGGGTCGCGACCCCTTTGGGGGTCGAATGACCCCTTCACAGGGGTCGCCTAAGACCATCGGAAAACACATATATAATTACATATTGTTTTTGTGATGAATCACTATGCTTTAATTATGTTCAATTTGTAACAATGAAATTGGGGGTCACCACAACATGAGGAACTGTGTTAAAGGGTCGCGGCATTAGGAAGGTTGAGAACCACTGCTCTAGAAGCTGCTTAGAGAGGAGTGGACGAGCATAAAATCACGGGACGCGTGACACACACGGCGGTGCCTGTGGAGACTGACTTCACTGTAACCGCAGGGGCCGTGGGAATCCCTCCCAACGGCAACAACAGGAGGACGTGAACTGCATCGGCCATCCTGGTTTAATGAAGCGTACAGAATGCTTTCACCAACAGCTTCATGCCCGTGATTAGAAGTTAATTATGAAACCTCGCGAGCAGACGCAGAGCCCTCGTGCACAGGGGTGAGCGGGATGTCGAGGCACTTGGGTGCGTGGAGGGAGGAAGTGACCCGCCCCCGGCCCCTCACAGTGACACTGGAGACCAGTCCGACTTGGCAGGAAAGGCCCTCGGCCAGAAATACTGCATCAGTGACGCAGGTAAGAGACAATATTTAGAAAATATTCAGGCTGCAAGGCTCTAGGCTGTAAAAATACAAAGGCTAAAAACAAAGCGTTTATAAAATTGTGCAAACCCAGTCAATTTAAACAAGTAAGAAATCAGAAGTTATCTTTCTTGCAGGATAGGTCCGTGGTGTCAGTAGGTTGTAAAATGATAACACTGGACAGGGACACTCACGCGGCCACATACACATTCCCGCCCCTTCAAGACTTACAATGTGGATCCTGAAACGTCCCTGTGTCCCGCACTCACACACGCACACGTATGCGCCCACGCACACACATGCACCCACAGGACACGACACGTGTTACACGATACATGTCAGACGGAGCACAGCAAGACGTTCTGGTTACAAGGACCTAACATGATTGTTCTGGAAATATTAAAAGCATGGTCATCTGAAAATATTATAAAACTTGTAGGTGAAACAGGACAACAAGGAGCCTTTGAAAAGCCACTGGTTGGCCTTCACTAGTGAGACAGTGTTACCTAACGTCGTCACGCACCCTCGATGCACTCAGCCGCCTCGGCCGGAGGTCACCTGAAAGTTCAGAGGGTTTCGAACCCTGGACGGGCTGTGGATTTCCCACAGGACGCGTGGTGGTTCAGGCCACCGATGGACACGTGCGGGTTCCCGGCCACGGAAGCCTACGTCCCTCCTGGGAAGCTGAGACCATTTAGGCCGGAGAACACCCCAGAGAAGGACAGAGACGAGGCGACGGAGAGGCTGGTAGAGGAGACTCCAGCGGCGGGGACGGCGGTGTGAACATCGCCGAGCGCAGAGCCTGCTGCGACCACAGCGCCGAGGTTCCAGCTGCATCACCAAGAAACGCTAGCTATCGAGCCTGTCCTGACGGAGACGGAGCGGGAGGCCCGGCCACGTGCTTCTGGAGCCGGTAGACGTGGAAGGTCTTGTTCTGAAACACGCGGGTGAAGAGCGCCGCGTAGGCCGGTAGGCCCCTCCGGATCTCCTCGCAGAAGCGGGGGTGGCCTGCAGGCTGCAAACCCGCCTCGTTCTCTCCCGGGCCGTCCATCATCTGAAGCCAAAACAAAACCAAGTATAAATTGGTAAAAAATAAATCAAACTTATAAGAAACAACGTGGCAGGGACAGGAGCTGGGTTTCTTCAGTGAAGGTAAGGGACGTGGTTCCGACGGCAGTGGCTGCTTGAGGTCACACGGCGTCCCAGCCCCGGGGGAGAGCCGAGGCCGAGGAGGCGGGGGGCACAGGGCGCCCCAACGGCAAAGCTGGGACGGAGCTCGATCTTGTCTGAGGGGGACACGCTGTTTCTCTCACAAACGCGACCAGGAGGACTCGCTAGGACCCAGCAAACCTCAGCTCACTCGGTGGCCGCGTGAAACACTACACAGAGCAGAACGCACACAGCCCGGGGCCGGCCGCCCTGCACTCAAGGTGGTGAGGAGGCACTCTGCTTGGGCAAGAATCCGAGCTTCCAGTCCTCCCCCCGGCTCCCCTGAGGCCTTTAGGGTGCGGGAGCGGGAGCGGGTGGTGAATGGAGAGTCACACACGGGTCCGTGGGGGGCGGGCAGGGCTCTGGGCCAAGCTCAGCTGGTGGCCACAGTGCAGGATCTGTGCTGGGCGCCTGAACTTCTCTAAGAGACTAGCTCTTAGCTCTCTGCGTCTGGAACCTTGTACAGTGGCGTCTGCCTGGAGTGCACGTGGGCCCAGGAGAGCAGGGACATGGGGTCCGGGAGAGCAGGGAGACGGAGCGGCCGCCACAGCCACGAGGGACCAGCCCACTGATGCTCGAGCTTCAGAAAGGCCGAGGTTTTGGTTTTGGTTTTAACAGCAAAACCTTCCACGTGACCCGTGGGCAGAGGCTCCTGACCAGCCAGCTGCAGGCCGGTGCCCCGTGTGGAGACGCCTGGAGACCATGCCGGCTCCGGGCCTGGCCCCTCTGAGAGCCTGGAGCCCACCCGCCCGCGCTCACGTGTCCGTTGGCCACGTCCAGCAGGTCCCGCAGGCGGCAGCCGCGCCGGTGCCTGCGCTCGAAGCAGATGCTGTCCTCCAGGATCACGAAGTCGGTGCCCAGGGCGCGCAGCAGCGCGTGCACCTCCTCGGGGGGCCTCCGTGCATAGACCTGGTACACCTGCGGGCGGTGACCGATGAGCGGGCGGGGCCTCACCTCCACGGGGCGGGGCCTGAGCCCTGGACACGCTCCCACCTAGTCCCCGGGCCCTTCCCAGGTCCCACGCAGGGCCCTCACCGCCCGGGTGCGCGCCCGCAGGCCGCTGTCCTCGTAGTGCGGGTGGTTGGTGAGCGTCCTGCCCGTGCACAGCTTGACCCCGGCCAGCAGCTGCATGCTGCCCGCGAACACGGCCGTCCGCGGGGTGTTGGAGCTGAAAGGTGAGTGTCTCAGCCCCAGCGCGGTCTCCCAGGTCAGGTGACGGGTGGGGGTCCACCTGAATCGTCAACCCCCACGCTCTGCAGAGGAGCCGAGTCGGCATCCTCGGGGTGTGACCGGGGCTGGGACCTGCACTGAGAGGAGCCGTGACCCATCCCCGGGGGCTGAGCATTTACTCCCACGGATGCCGGGACCGCAGCCCAGCGCCCAGCAGGGCCCGAGCTGGTGCCAGCAGGCGCCCTGCACCGAGTGGGGACCCGCCCGTCACTCACTTCCCAGCAAAGGCCCTCACTCACTTAACGCCAGGAGCTTTCTAAGGGAGCAGACGGCGGCGGGATCCCCGTGAGAGGCGGGGCTGACCCCGGCCAGGTGACGCCCGAGTGGCGGGAAGGGCCCCTTACTTAATCCAGTGCATCAGCTCCACGGTGTCGGGGTCGTAGAATTCCCTCAACTCCGACAGCTCGTCCATCACTCCCGGCCAGAACTGCAGTGAAAAGCAAAACAAACAACAGTCACCCTCACCCCCAGCGGGCGCTGCGGCGGAGACGGAAGAGCAGGGGCTGCTGAGCTGGGGGCTGCAGGGCAGGAGCTGACTGGGAACTGCTCGCTGCTGGGCTGGGCCACCGCCAGGCGACAGTCCCAGCCTCTAACCATCGAGGTGACAAAGCGTCCGTGTCGTCGACATGACGAACGCCCATTCCCTAAGCGAGTCCACTGCGAACAGGGACCATTTCCTCCGAACCTGCATGGCGGGCATTGCGGCCTGGGCTGCCCTGCCTGCGGGTGCCCGCCGTCCTCGCGGGGACGGGAGCTTGTATGACACATGCGGTGAGGGCACCACACTCCGTAGAGAGCAGGTCCCGGGGGAGCAAAGCTCGTACTTCATTCACCTCAAAACTGGTCTGGAAACATCTCTATGTGCAGGATTCGCACCATCTGAACAGTAAGTCGAAACCAAAACTGATCAGAAGGATTGAGCTGGTAGTGTTTACTTGACGATCTGGAAACAGACCAGTCCTCCTACCAAAGCCAGCTCCCCGAGGCCAGGGAGAGAGTCCTAACCCGTGGGCACTCTGCCGGCAGCCCACCCAGCCACGCGCCCATCCTGCCCAGGTGAGCGCCAGGAGGCACCGCCGTCCTACCTTGCAGCCCAGACAGAGCAGCGTCAGCAGGGGGACTGCGTGCCGCACCACACACACCTGTGGAGACAGTGTTAGTGACAAGTGTTTGGGACACGTTTGGCTCACAGTTTTGCTTTGTAAACATATGACTTAAAAAAGAATGACAGAAACACAACGTAAGGGAGCATTTAATGGGGTGTCCAACATGCAAAGCCACCGAGCCATGGTCAGGGTCGGGGTCGCTGCCCACGCTGCCCCCTAGTGAGGCCAGAGGGCAGGACATGCAGAGCCTGGAGGCTGGTCACCACTGCCCATTGCCCACCGCCGTCAGGTGGCACATTATAGTTACACTAGAGACCCGGTGCACAAAAATTTGTGCACTCAGGGGAGAGGGGGCCCCCTCAGCCCGGCCTGTGCCCTGTTGCAGTCTGGGACCCCTTGGGGGATGACCATCTGCTGGCTGAGGCCTGCTCCCCGGGGGACTGGGCCTAAGATGGCAATCAGACATTCCTCTGGCAGCCCGGCAGCCCTCGGGGGATGTCCACTTGCCAGCGGGGAGCAGGCCTAAACTGCAGTCGGACATCCTTAGCGCTGCTGAGGAGGCAGGAGAGGCTCCCACCACCACTGCTGTACTGGCAGCCATCAGCCTGGCTTGTGGCTGAGCAGAGCTCCTCCCATGTGAGAGCACCCTGACCACCAGGGGTCAGCTCCTGCATTGAGTGTCTGCCCCCTGGTGGTCAGTGTGTGTCATAGTGACCAGTCATTCCCAGTCTTTCTGCTGTTAGGGTCAGTTTGCATATTACCCTGTTACTATATAGGATAGAGGCCTGGTGCACGGGTGTGGGATAACTGGTTTGCTCTGAAGAGTGTCCCGGATCAGGGTAGGGGTCCCGCTTGGGTGCCTGGCCAGCCTGGATGAGGGGATGATGGCTGTTTGCAGCTGGTCACACCCCCTTCAGGGTGGGGGTCCCCACTGGGGTGCCTGGCCAGTCTGGGTGAGGGGCTGAGGGCCGTTTTCAGGCTGGCGGGTGACTGAAGCTCCCAACCTCTCCTTTTTTTCTTTTTTTTTAATTCTGGGATTTATTTACCTTCTATGGCTGTCACTGGAACTGAGAGCCATCTTTAGCTCTGAGGCTTGGCTCCAGCTCTGAGAACTCGGCTGCTGAAAGCAGGTATCTGGGTTTGTTTGGTTTCTATAATTGAAACACTGTTGCAACTCCAGCTCTGAGGCCCGGCTGGCTGAAAGCAGGTTTCTGGGGTTTGTTTAGCTTCTATAATTGCAACATTGTTTTTTAGAGTGCAGCTCAGAGGCCGGCAGCGGCAGGCGGGGAACCTTGGCTTCCTCCATCACTGGAGCAAGCAAGCCTCCTGTTCGCTTCAGCTGCGTGGCTGCTGGCCATCTTTGTTGGCAGTTAATTTGCATATCTCGCTGATTAGCCAATGGGAAGGGTAGTGAACTTACGGTTAATTACCATGTTTCTCTATTATTAGATAGGATTAGTGACAGCTCTGGACAGTAGGGTTATTGGCGATTTTTAAGTTTTCTTTTTGTGCTTTTCAGGATTTCTAAATTCTGTAGAATGAGCATATCTAATTGATGGCTGGGAAAGAAAGAAATGATTACAAAATAAAATTTAAAAAAATCCTTATAAAATCATAATGTATCTGTTCTCTACTTTCAGCTTCACATTTAGTATCCATTTTACCAGGCGGCTGTCTGGGCAACTCCTACATAACAGAGCTGGCAGGAGGAGACACGAGAAGCCGTGACATGGAGGGGCGGAGGCGTGCACTGACCCTTGCTGGGGTGTAAAGGCGGGCGACCTTCAGAAGCGACCCCCACACTTCAGGGCTGCACAGGCCAGAAGCTGCAAACACGCACACGTGCGGCGTCCACAGGTACTTCATTCTGCGGGGACAGCGGGCAGAGGTCAGCCCCAGACAGCCGTGCGGTCAGATCCTACCCGACTGCGCAGAAACGCCGGCCAGGGAGCAATAACCTCCCGGCCCGAGGGCTGACGCAGGATCAACCCTGCGATACTCTGATCCGGGAAAACCGCTGTGACTGCGGTTTTGTCCTCGGAGGAGACGGCAGACAAGGAGGTTCTGTGGGAACCTCGGCCACTAAGGAAGACAACGACAGCTTCCCATGACGCTGCTATCTGAGGCCAGGTGAAGAGCGGCCGGATAAGAGGATAAGTCGGAGATGAGACGAGAATACCTCATTGTGCTCAGCGCCAAGGCTCCGAACGCGACGGTGTGGGTTAAGTTGTAGGCGGTGTCCGGCCCCAGGCTGACCGCGCACCTTCCCGCGTGACCCTGGGTGGGAGAGTCGCTGGACAAACAGCACAGACACATGAGAGCTGGACACAGGATTCTAACTTCGTCAACTCTTTTCTAGAGACAATACACTCACCCTTTCATGTATTTAGAAATGTATTACTTCCCTAAGACAAAATGAATTGCCACTGGTCATTTTAATTTGTTTATGAGGCTAAAAGTGTCACAATATGAACGCATTAATAAGCAGAAAAACTACAATGTAACGAATTTAATTTTAAGGGAAGAAAGTACTTCAGTCCTTAAATTATAAGAGAATAGCAAACAAAAAGAAATCCTTTTGAAATGCGGAAACTAAGATCTTGAAGCTGTTTTACGAGTTACCAGTATTTTTTAAGTTTTTACAAATAAGAAAAAGTAAAGACGTGCCGTGAACTTGGGCTTCAGTTCCTGCTGAACCGACAACAGTGCCCGGGGCACTTCCAGCCGATGGCTCTACCAGCTGCGCCCACTGGAGCGATGCACCCACGTTTACCCACGCGCCTCACGCGTCTAACACCGTTCACGGCACCTGCTTCTCCGGTGGTTTCCGCGAGTCAGGACCCAGCCTTGCCCACGACTTTCTAAGTCATCTTTCCGTCAATAAAGCCCCCCACCCGCCTTGGGGCCGTGAGGCCGAAAAGCACCGCCCTGTTGTCTGCTGCTTCCTGCGACACCGAGACACCGAGCCTCACGGCCCAGCGCGGGGTCTGCAGCCTGCGCACCTGAGGCGATGGAGGGCGGCAGCCAGCGCCATGGTCGCCGTGACGCCCAGGACGAGCACGTAGGCGTGGAGCAGCAGGGTGTCCGAGAGCCGCCCGAAGGTGTCCCAGGGCAGCAGGCCGAACGCTTCCTCACACAGGTACAGGTTCGCGTCGAAGTCTCTGGGGACAAACGGAGACCTAGGGTCAAACCCAGTGTCAGGAAACTTCCATTTCCCCCCAAATGAGTCTGAAATCAGCAGTTGAAGGCACAATGATAACTTTTAAAGTCCTTGCTGATTTAATATAAAAAGCAAACATACATCTTATTGTTTAAAGAAAAAAAAAAGACTAAATGAAGGCGTACCTTGTTGCTCCAAATCCAAACTTGGCCTTCAGAAATTTAAATATGTGCTCATCTGACCTCAGGTTCAGCGTTTTCTGTGGGAGGGAGAAGCCGGAAACTGCGTCAGTGCCCCGTGTGCCGTGCAGAACCAGCGGTGGCCACACACCACCACATCCTCAGGCCCAAGACTCCCAAGCAGGGACCCGAGGCTGTCCCTTCCTTTCATGGCAGAATCACTGTGTCAGACGGAATCTTATGTGTAAGTTTAATATGTAAAGTAGATAAAAGGTGGGCTTCTTTGGCTTTAGAAGCCCAGTGAATATGATCTTTTATTTTATTTTTTTAAAAATATATTTCTTTATTGGTATCAGAGGGGAAGGAAGAGGGAGAGATAGAAACATCAATGATGAGAGGGAATCATTGATTGGCTGCCTCCTGCATGTCCCCTACCGGGGATGGAGCCCACAGCCCAGACATGTGCCCTTGGCCGGAATCGAACCTGGAACCACAGGCCGATGTTCTATCCACTGAGCCAAACTGGCTAGGGCTGAGTATAATCTTTTAGATCAGAAAACCAATAACCCGATAATCTGCAACCTCCAATGGCCACAAATAGAATTTTTTAAATTGAGAGAAATACTTGTTTAAGGCTTTTAAAGTTGAGTTTCTAAAAAGTTTAGTAACTCAAAAGGAGTTCAAGGTAGAACATGTTAGAGTGAATAGAAAGCAAGAACTAAAATCAAGAAAATTATCCTGTTACTGAAACAAGTTAAAACTAAGCCTGTTCAGATCTTGTAACATAGAAACCCACACCTGAAACCTATAAGCTCATGTTGACCAATGTCACCCCAATCAACTTAATAAATATAAAACAATATCCCCCCCAAACTGAGCCTGTTTAAAGTAAAACTGGTAACTCTTTAGAAATGCTAAATTAAATATGCCATTTTATTAACCTACCTTAATCATGTTGTTGAGAAAAAGCGTCAAACATAAAACCACAAGTAAATGTAACAATAGTTTCCCAAGCCTACTAAGGAAGTTTCCAGTTTTCAGATTTTTCTAGAAATTAAAAGAGTTGAGGTTTAATTCTTAATTTTAATATAACTTCATAAACACTTCAGATTACATAAGCATTTAAAACATTGGGTCATGCAACATATGGGGAAAATATGTGGAAAACATAACCTACTAGTTTTCTTATAATCTCAGATAACTTTACAGATAATCAGATATAATAGCATCTAAAGAGTTCAAGTAGGAGTGACATTTACTTATAATTAAGGTTGAAAGCAGGAATGAGAACGAATGTTTTTGAGTCAGCGAACAGCCTGTTCTAACCACAGCTGTGGCGGTTTGTCCGTGGCAGCTCTCATCAATGCTAACCACGGATTTCCAAAAACCCAATGGTGCCCTTCCCACTTTTCAGGGGGAATTTGGTCATCAGTTTTCCTTTGAACGCTGCATGAAAGGTCCCTCGAACTAAAAAATTTATAGACAAAAAAGAAAAGAAAAAAAGAAAAAAAGAAAAAGAATTCCTACCTGAAGTTTTCTTGCAATTAATACTGAGAGGTTAAAACTGATCAGCAAAGATCCAAGAATCATGGAATTGAAAAACTGCAGGGCACAGACCAGGAGCAGAGCTGTGAGCTGGATGGAGTACAGCCAGGTCGCCTGCGGAGGGAGAGTGGAGGGGAGGAGGTAGGTCATCAGGAGACCAGCGCCCCGTCTCCAGTTACACACACGCAGAGAACACCCACTGGAGTACAGGCTACAGAAGAAACGAGGTCACACACATCTGCTTACTTTAACCACACACGTTTGGAATTCTGTAACAGTAAAGAGGCAACAAACTGGATACTATGAAGCAGAGGAAGAAACGATGCTTTAACCGCATCCTGGAAACGCATCTGTAGCCTTCAGCTTCTCCTAAATTCCTTTAAGTTACTGTTGACAGCTGACCATCAGCAGTTCACCATCTCCCACTACTTCCCAACTTCCCATTTAGGACCACGTCGTCCATTGCTTCCTTTTACGTGTGTGTGTATGTGTGTGTGTGTGTGTGTGTGTGTGCGCGCGCGTGCCTACTTCCCCAGGGACTGGGACTGCGGGTGAGCACCTCGGCCGGCCTTCGGCCTTGGTGTGGGGACCGGCTGGTGGTAAGACAGGGCCGTGCACCGGCCTCAGGGCCGGGGGGACGGGCACCGGTGCCATCTGAGGCGACCGGCGCAGGGAAATAAGTGCACATGAGCAGCTCTGGCCAGTGACACTGACAGGATGAAAAGTCAAAGAAGCAGAGCTCAGCCCAGGTGGAGCCACGCAAAAATGCCTCAAAAAATAAATAAAATGAAGAGCTGATACTTTTTCTCTTTTCTTTCAATTAGGCCACCGCAGGTTCACACCGGTTTATGAAGATTCTTATTCAGCAGGAAGTCACATTTCCCCCTTGTTTTGTGCTCCGACCTCAAAGGAAACAGACCCTCGTCAGCATTTAAAAGTCAGGCCTGCAGCACACGAGGAACAAACAGGGCTGAAGTTCCTCATTTCAGAGGGAAGTCCGTGTGGCCTCAGCGGGCTCACCCCCGAGGCTGGTTGATGTCGCCGTGAGGATGTTATAAGGGACCACAGGAAAGTCGCTACAGACCCACTGATTTCCTTGGGGAGACGGTGCACAGCCACACATTTTGAGAGCTGTCTTATAAATTGAAATTTAAATCTTCTCTATAAAGGACAACCGATCTAGATATTTGTGCTCCAAATAAATCCGCCATTTAACGTACAATAAGCAGAACACGGGTTAAGATGGTCACACGAGGCTGTTAACCACCAGCTCAAACAGCACATTTCCGTGGGTGACACACATGCGCACCTGCGACAGCACAGCACCAGCGCCGCCTCCCGTCCCCGCCGCGTGCTCACCTTGGCGGCCGGCAGCATGCCCAGGGAGTCCAGTGCGAACAGCCCCAGCGCCTGCACCAGCATCGTGAACTGATTAAACTGCCAGGTCAGACTAAAGACAAACGTCGACGTGAAGATGGCGAGCAGGCTCAGCCGCTGTGGAGAGAAAACCTCTGTCACGCCCGTCGTGAGGGATCAAGAGCCTCGCGGGCGGGTTCGAGAGCAGCAGGGCCTCTGTGAGCAAACAGAGAACAGAGACCGTGGCTCTGACAACCCGAGCGCTGGAGGCGACCACACGCTGCGCGGACCCCACACCAGCACAGAGGTGACCACACACCAAGGGGCATCGCAAGAGCAGTGGCTTATGGGTTCCCACCGTTTTGCAGAAATTGTGGGTTTGCTGCAACTACTTAAGACCGGATTATGTAAAACAGGGGTCCTCAAACTACAGCCCGCGGGCCACATGCAAATACAAATATTGTATTTGTTCCCGTTTTGGTTTTTTACTTCAAAATAAGATATGTGCAGTGTGCATAGGAATTTGTTCATAGTTTTTTTTTAAACTATAGTCCAGCCCTCCAACGGTCTGAGGGACAGTGAACTGGCCCCCTGTTTAAAAAGTTTGAGGACCCCTGATGTAAAAAGTATATTTAAAAAGTATATATTTTTATTGATTTCGAGAGGAAGGGAGAGGGAGAGAAACATCAATGATGAGAGTGAATCATTGACCGGCTGCCTCCTGCATGCCCCCAACTGGGAATCGAACCGTGACCTCCTGGTTCATGGGTTGACGCTCAACCACTGAGCCCTCCTGGTTCATGGGTTGACGCTCAACCACTGAGCCACACCAGCCCTGCTGTAGAGCACATTTCAAACTCAGAAGGCTTCCTTTAACTCAAAAACTGGTCATGAACCAAGGGCTCCGCACGGGCTCTGGGGCACCCGCCGTCACCACTCCTGAGCTTGGATGACATTGGAGATTAGAAACAGGAAGGATTCTGGGACTCACCTCGGACACAGGCCGCAGGTTTGGCCTCAGGAAATACGTGATGGCCGCGACCTGGACCGCAAAGAAGGGCAGCGCCCAGTTCTCCCGCAGCGGGATGGTGAACTCCACCCGGGTGGTGTCTGTCCTGCACACACAGGGAGCACAGTCCTCACCCGTGCCGTGGCCGCCCATGCCGTGGCCGCCCGTGCCGTGGCCGCCTCCACTGTCCTACACGACGGCTACGTCACACGAAGGGCACCAGGCTCTGGTGACTGGTTCTCAGTAACCATCTGTCCTCCCCCACCAGCCCCGAAAAGTAAACTCGGCAGGGAGGACGTCCAGGTGCCCGTCCACACGTGGCAGCCAGCCAGGGGGCCTGGGCGGACACATGCGTGTTCCTGTGACTGCCCCACTGCCTCCACTCCCCATGCACGCTCCCCTGTGCTCTTCACGCTGTACACGTCCTGAACGTGTCACCGCTGACCATTTTTCCGAGCCCCTTGCTTCCCTAGAACGTGACCCCTAGAGGGCAGGTAGAGGTCAGGCGTCATCTTTGTCCACTGGTTCCAAGAACTGTCTCTACACATTGTAGGCTTTCAATAAATATCTTTGATTTACTCTTGAAACAAACACATTTGACTTCCATTCACTCTTAGCAGGAATAACAGGCTAGATCAGAATGCTAAGAGGCAGCCTGGCACAGTGGCCGCACCCTTGTTAGAATTCTGACCAAGACTTCGCAGCGTGTGTACTGATTCAGATATGCACACGCCATGACATGTACTTATTCTCACAGGTACACAGACTCACCTATCACTGTAAGTTAGCCCTTAAGCTTCAATGTCCGCATCCCTAGGGTGGGGTAAGAACAGTCTCTCCTCCGTAAGGCTCGTAAGGGAATACTCGGAAAGCATTTTGCACAGTGCTCGGCCTGCAGTAATCCCTCAGTAAGGTTACAGGAGAAAGCAGTTTGTTTGGGATTCTGACATAGAATCAATGTCAGACCCTGTGTCCGAGTTTGTAAGTTTCCTCCTCAGTATTGGTGTTACGACTGCAGGTCAAGCAGTTTTTCCGAGCGCTGGCAGAGGCTCCCTGACTGACAGGGCTGCAGAGCAGCTTCCTCTGAGCTGGGAAGCCAGCGACTGCCCTTTGCCCTGTGTAAAGGGAGGAGGCGACAGCGGCTCCGACTCACCTGTTGGTGACGTACCAGAAAGCCGCCAAGAGCCCCGCCAGCCACGTGCCGCTCAGGAGCCAGCTGGTGGCGTACAGAGCCGCCACGTAGACTGCCTGCAGCCCGAACAGGGTGTAGATGTAGAAGTAAACGGGCTCCAGGTACTTCTGCAAAAGGGACGATGAGACTACTCGTGAGGGAAGCCCTGCCCTTCTCCCTGCCACTCAAACGACACACAGTAGGACTTCATCCAGAAGCCTGGAGCTGGTCCCACTCCACAGGCCACATCCCCCAGAGAGCCTCCGGGGGGCTTCCCTCGTCAGACGAGGGCACGCCTGGTTTTGTCCTGTTTATCCTGCTCAAGTGAGAAGAGGTCATTGTGATTTGGTAACTTTCCAATGTCTTTTATTTCAAAGATAAGTGAGGAGCGATCACGTGTCCACCTGAAAACGTGTATCGCTTCTAGACTGCACACACATCGTAAGCCGGGAAGCATCACACGTACCACACAGCTTATAAGACAGGAATAAAAAGCAAACGTCACAGTATTTATGAAGATGATTAGGGTACTGCTGCTTTTCCACCAAGCCGGTTGAAGATCAGAATAACATGTCAAACTTCAACCTGAAATGGCAGATTCTGACGTCCACCTGCTCTTAACTCAACGCCACACAACACCTCAACATACCTGTATGGGCAGAACTCGGTATAAAACACTGAGGAAGACCTCCTGGTAAATGTTCATTCGCTGAAGGAGGTTAATGGTCCGCATAGATTCTGTTTTGTTATCGTACATTAAGCCACGAAAACCTAAGGTTGATATTTGAAAAACCAAGAAAAAGAATTACAATTTAAATAATTCATTTATTCAAAACTACTCATAGAGTCTTTGCAAGAGCCAGAGAACGTGCCTGCTGTGGAACGGACGACACCCTCCGGGAAGCATCCCGACCGAACCAGAACCTGGACCCAGCCAGCGCCAGACCCACCACCACCTGATGGGCCGCTCAGACCACAGAAACACGGTAAGGCAGGCGCCGGGGGCTCCAACAAAACCCAGAAAGTGGGACACTCTCCGACAGATGACTCAGCGTTTTCCACAAACAATTACAAGGAAAGATGGGAAGAAGCCTACAGATTAGAAGAAACAGGCAGAGACGTGGCCAACGCCTGCCACGCGTGGCTCCGTCTGCTCTCAGGGACGTTTAAACCCCGGGAGGCAGAGCCGCTGCAGGACTCGCCGCCTCGGCATCTGCTTGAAATGCTCTGGAAGAACCACCGGGACAAGCGCCGGGAGAGCCGGGTCCAGCGACACGTAAAAAGGTGGCAGTCACCTTCCCGGCAGCTTCTCACCTCACTATGGACTTATGCTGGGCTAGATGCCTCTCTGTTGTGGGGACTGAGTGATGATGTTTCTGTTTAAAGACACTGTCTTTTTCTTTTCTTTTGCAGGAGGAGTGGTGTCTGGCCTGGGGCCACGTGCCCCCCGACTCCCAAACTCCACCCTCTTTCCAGTCCCAGCCCGTGGCCTGAGCCCGGGTCATCAGACAGGAGGCAGGGTCACCCACTGGAGGCGGGACATGCTCCCCCCCCCCCATGTGTCCTGCAGGGGCGGGAAGGACAAACCCTTGTGTCCAGGGCTGACTTTCAACAGGTCACAGCGAGGGAGCTGCTCTGCTCCCCACGAAACCCCACCCAGAAGCAGGTAGACACCCACGTGAATGCCCACTGCTGAGCCCTGGCCAGCAGCGCCCTGACTCGCGCTCACCTCAGCCTGCCTTTCCTGTACCGACTGTGCCTCGAGGCCACCGATCAGCTGATGAGAAAAAGGGTTTAGATAGCAGAGCTCTAGCTGGCAGATCCGGGAGGGAGGGCAGAGGCAGTGTCACTCTGCAACTCTACTGAAGTAACAGGTACAGGCGATGCAGCCTCAAACAGCTGCTACACCGTTACATGTTGGCTGAGGGGTAATTAACCTTTTTATGGGTAAAACTGCCTTTCCACACAGGAACGGACTAACTTTTATGGCACAAAAAGGAAGATAAGCAAAATCGCACGCCTCTCATTGTGACAGGGAAGCACAAAACATCACCCCTGGAGAATTCTCGCCAAAAACACATCTGAACCCGAGTCCGAGACAGGACAGCTGTGCCGGGTGACTCGCATCAGCACACAAGACGGGGGGACCCTCCGGCTTCCCTTCGCTGGAGCCAAGGTGAAGCGTGTGGGCTGTGAGCACTTAGAAACAGTGGAAATGGGGGAAATGGCCACTGCAGAAATAAAGGAACGCATGGGGCACTGGGACGGCTGTCATTTTGCTTGGTTTATCGAAATCCCTCCATCCAGACCACAGCCATCACCTGCAAAGACCTCTTCCCAGGGGATAGCGAGAAAAGTCAGCTGCGAGGCCGAGAAATCACAAACATGAATTATGGGAGGGGCGGCTCACAGAGGCGAGGGAAGGAGGGATACATAAGGTATTAGCTTCTAGAGCAGAACGTTTCCTGTCATTTAACCAGTAAAACGACAAAGGGTCGAAGAAAAACAATACACGTTCCATGGAGCATGTCTCGGGCTTCCGTGCCGACGTGTTTTCTGGCCGACACAGGGGAGCACGTGGGAACCGCACGGCGTGGGCGCCTTACCGTGCGCGAGGCTGGGCGCCTGCAGCATCTGCTTGTAGTAGGAGTAGTACAGCCCGCACTCCGTCCGGAACGAGATCTCCCGCTCCACCTCCTGAAACGAAGGCGATTTTCATTTGGGTTCACACGACCTAGCCTGGTTACGTCTCTGTTGTCACTATCGAGACAGGACACAGAACTACAACTTAGAAGGGAAACCAACTCTGGAGACAGAGTCTTAAGAAATCTCGGCAACGGACGGCTGGTAATGGCTGAGGCTGGGTGTGTATTTAGGGTTTATTATACGATTCTCTCTACTTCTATGGGGGTGTAAAATTTCTTATAATAAAGCATTTTTAAAAGCAGAGACTAGTCCCATTTAGTTGATGTTTCAGAGGCAACGTTTTTCTTGTATTTCACACAAATTAAAACAAATAAACAACCCCCCACCACCATTCTTACGTAATATTAATGAGAAACAAAACCGAAACAGCAAAAAAAATCCCCCAAACGAAAAGAACTGTAATTGCGTTAGACACTTGCGTTAGACAATATTAAATGAGATGAATAGTTTTCCTTTTATTTTAAGAGTATAAGGACGTCGTAGTGAATGCGACAGACCTTTTACATGTGAATTTTACTTTGACAAATGGAAAGTGTTCATGTAGGAAAATGGATACAAGATATTTAAAGGGCTTTAATACACAGTCCATTTTTAGAGGAACGGAATTTAAAGCAATAGCTATTAGTCAATTGGGTTGTAACATGCTTTTATAAAATTTAAGACATTAACATAAAATATGCAGGAAACTGGTACTGAGGATAGGAAGACTTCGGGAATAATCCCACGACTACGCTTCGATCCTGTATTTCATGTGTGTACATGTGAAGCATTCTGCGTGAACCAATGGTTATAATCTGTGTCATTCCAGATTCCTTTACACAGCGTTCGAAACCAGGCCCTAAGACCTACGTCTCCTGTTACCGCGGGTCCACACCCCACAACCCCGGCTCCCCCGGGGAGACGGCAAACACCACACATCCGGCTTCCTCGCCGATAACCCTCTTCTACCACCTCTGTAGTTCCCGTACCGCCAACTATTTTTCAAATACTAATAAATATTTCATTAAAGGAGCCACTCATGCTATTTATCGTCATACCTGGAAATTATTTACTTCTACCTTTTAAGTATTTCTTTAAATATTTTTCTTCTTAAAAAAAGGTGTTATAAATCAATTCATGAATAGCGAATTGAAGAAATATTCAATTATGTAAGAGTATAGACATCTAATTATTGACCTTGAAAACCAAACTATTATGTTCTATCATTGTTAACTCTTTTAAAAAATGGGAGGAGGGGTAGGGTAGCAAATTGGAAATGAGCTTCCTTTCGTGGAAAAAAAACTTATTCTGGAAAAATAAAATATTAAAAAGAAGGCCCAGCCCGGCCGGTGTGGCTCAGTGGTTGAGCGATGACCCACGAACCAGGTCATCACCCAGGTTGTGGGCTCGATTCCCAGTGTGGGGCGTGCAGGAGGCAGCCAATAGGTGTGCTTTCTCTCTCATCGCTGTTTCTATCTCTCTATCCTTCCTCCCTCTAAAAATCAATAAAAACATTAAAACTAAAAAAAGGAAGGCCCAGTCAGGTTCTGACGTTTCATCTCATCAGCACATCTGCTTCTCGGGAAGGACAGTGTGAAATGACGGCTCCTGAGCTCTCCTGCGGCTCTGCAGTGTGCCTTCCTCAGCAGGGAGGCAGCCGCTCCGACCTCGGCGACGGCGGCTGTTGCTTTTGATGACAGTGAAGTAAACTGGCATCGCTCCCCTCTCCAATGTTCAGACTCCCACTGGGTCAAGGACCCCCAGAGGCTGGGCATGGACGTTAACTGAGTCGACATTAGCTTCCTTCCATACAAAACAGCCACACTCAGCTTAATGACACTCCTCTTCTCTCCGGCCGCCTTCCAGGGCGCATGCTGACGTCACACTGACGCCCCAAATCAGCCTGCAGAGCCCCATCAGTCACTCTCTTGTGGGGGCTTCTTCCCCCACACGGTTTCCGAGAGGAAATGACTTTTTAAAAAATGTGTTTTTATTGATTTCAGAGAGGAAGGCAGAGGAAGAGGGGGATAGAAACATCAATGATGAGAGAGCTGTATTGATCCTCTTGCCTGCCCCACACAGTGGACAGAGTTCACAACCCGGGCCTGTGCCCTGGCCGGGAATCGAACCGTGACCTCCTGGTTCACAGGCCCATGCTCAACCACTGAGCCACGCCGGCCGAGAGGAAAGACTGATTTCATCGAGACGGGGAAAGAAAGGCCTCGAAGTACTCACGGGAGAAAGCTTTTGCGCCCTCCCCCCTCCTTAATCCACCCGGAACGTGTGAGGAACAGAGGGTCGTCATTAGGAAAAACGCCTTCAAACATGATGAATTGGTGATCTTGGCACCAGCTGTGGGGAACCAAATGCTATACTTTATCAGACAGACATTGGCAAGTTTTACATCTGCTTCCTGCTAAGACGACATCTGCTTCCCCCATTCAAACCCTTTCCCAGTTCCACAGCAATTTATACTTCGCCGGGCGGTGGGTTGTGCCACGGACGACGCACAGCAATAGCGCTGCCTCTAAAGAATGCACAACGAGCAAATACCTCCCGTTTTACTTGCGTGGGTTCCACCGGGAAAGCGATGCCGAGAGATGCGAACATCTTCTCTAAAGATAATGACAGAAAGAAGTGGAGAGACAAAGGAAGTGTGTTTTTAAGGAACTGTACAGCTCAAACCTTCTGCAGTCGTGGACACAGTAATTTAACAGAAGCACTAAAAGGAAAAAAAAAGTGACCGCCCAGAATGAGCCATCCGCCTCCTTGGCGGCACACAGGGTAACAAGTCCTTTTAGACAAACGACACCAAGTGTGCAAAGGGAACATCTCACTCGGTCCTTTAAAATCTCACGTGAATCGCTTCTGCTTATAAAAACTGCCCCCCAAATGACGAGGCTGCAGGTGGTGGGGAAGCCACGGGAAGATTAACCTTAGAACCGAAATCTGTTTCCGAATTAGGTCGACAATCATCTCACCAGCGAACAGCAGCTCACAGGAAGACAGCTGTTCCCCGTCCGGCGCTGGGAAGCGAGCCCTCAGCAAACATGTTCCCGGCACATACACGGGGAACAGTCTGGCAAGTCCACGCCCACCCGTCAGAATGCAGGACTCGCGCCCTCGGGGTGACTGGAGCTGCGGCCTGAGAGTTGCCAAGCTCTGAGGCGATCGGAAGCCTGTCGAAGTGACTGCCCTCCCCCCGGGCTGACCCCGAGGTGACCAGCCCTGGTCTCACTGTGGCTGCCACGCTGTGCACTAACCCTACTGCTTCTAAAGACTCCTTGCTTTGTAAGAGTGTTCAGTGGGAAGATATTCAAATTCTGTGACAGCAAATAAATGAGGGACAGTGGGAAATGCTAGCGTGAGGAAAAACGACTAAAAGAATCGAGGGTCTCGAGTGCGTTGAGCCAAGGGGGGACCTACTCCTTATCACTGGATTTTGATTGCTGGGGAGACAGAAAGGTGCAAGAATTCAGCCCTTGTTGTCAAGGGGTTTATTTTTCAACGAGAAGGAAGAATGCACTTTAAGAAAACGACTTCGAGGGCAGGCCGGCATCGGCCTGAGGGAACGCAGGGCCTTTCGCCCGGATCGCTAACCCAGCCCCGCACTGGACGGGCGTCTGACGGCCTCTTCTTCCTCCGAGAATTCCTTCCTTCATTCCACAGACACCTGCTGACCGACTGGTGACCTGACAGGTGAAAGCGAAGGTATGGGACCTCGTCTACACCCTCCTCGCTCTTCAGTTACCAGCACCCGCCTTCGCTGTGTGCCCACACAGGGGTATGTGAGTCTTTATTCAAAATACTGTGCTAACCAGTAAACATTAAACTGCTTAATTCTAGGGAACCTGTTGATCAACATTCTGCTTTAAAGAGAGATCGGTGAGTGGAATTCTTTCTGACAAGAAAAACTAGCGATTGTCACTAAAGGGCAAGGACCATTCTTCTTTGCTATCATCACACTGTGTATAAAGGTGTACTGATACAGGCCGTGCCATAAGCTACCAGAGCTCAGTCAGATAATTAATTGGTCATTCCAACTCGGAACCAAAGCTCAAGGTACTTTGGCAAACTCTCCATGGGAACTCTTTAGGCCCCACGTTGTTTCTTCTGAATGTTCTCACAGATGAGAAGTTCCTGGCCCTCGAAGGTGAATTTCACCTTTGTAAGCGGCCAGTCATGAGACACCACGGTGGTAAGGTCACAGGTCATGACACTTTGGGTTAAAGAAGAAAAAGGCATATTTGGTTCAAAAACACTGTCAATATGTAAGTTTCCTTGCTTAATATACTCGTTCTGAAAACAGTGCCAAATTAAAAAACGCTAGAGCCGGCCGGTGTGGCTCGGTGATTGAACATCGACCTAGGAACCAGGAGGTCACGGTTCATTCCCGGTCAGGGCACAGCCCGGGTCGCAGGCTCCATCCCTAGTGTGGGGCCTGCAGGAGGCAGCCGATCAGTGATTCTCTCTCTCATCATGGATGTTTCTATCTCTCCTTCTTCCTTCCTCTCTGAAATCAATAAAAAAATATATATTTTTAAAAAAAACACTAGAAATGCTTACAAAGAGAGAGAAAAGAGGGACAAGAGGAAACCGGTGTGTAAAACACCACAGGCTTCCTGAGTGTGAAGAGAATTATGGCTCCATCCCCGGAGTCATGGCTGGTCCCCGCCACACGCACACCCAGTTAGACGTGGACACGCTGTGACCACTGGGCGGAGACTCCATGGCGCAGAGCAGTGCCTTTCGAATTTCTTTCTATTTTAAACCACCCAACAGAAGAGAAACGTTTAAACTGTGACCTCATCTGTACACACACACACACACAATGAAGAGTTTCATGGCTGACCCCGCACCCCAGCACACGTGACGGCACTCTCTTGTACGTGATGTCACGAAGGAAAGCGTCACTCGTGACCCCCGGCACTAAGTTCACGATCCAGCGGCTCAGTGGATAGAACGTCAGCCTGCGGACCGAAGGGTCCCAGGTTCGATTCCAGTCAAGGGCACGGACCTCGATTACAGGTTCCGCCCTGGCCCGGGGCCCTGGTCGGGGCACATGCAGGAGGCAACCCATCGATGTGTTTCGTGTAAACTCGGGCTGATTGTAACTGCGTATTACCAAATATTTGTTTGTAATCCACCCTTTTGGTGGATGGAACAAAACCATAACACAAAGAAAAGCGCTGGTCCCAGTAACTGCTGCTTCCCTGGAATAAGTTAGGAAACGCCCTGGACTGTAGACATTCTGATCTTATTTTTACCAAAAAACACAGTCTTTTCACTCCATCGCCACACTGTTTAGGGACTGGATTCTCTGGGAATCTCACGCCGGGCTCACGGAACCCCGTACCTTTATGTTGGAAAACCACAGGTCATTCTCATGTAAGGTGGCCAGGTAGACGGACGTCAGGAGTCCAGCACAGAGGGCGACGGCTCCGCCGACTGTAAATGACAGAATCTTCCATAATCTTCCACTGGTACGACCTTCTGGAAAAGTCAAACCGATAAAGAAGAAAGTCGGTAAAGAACTGCACAGTCCGCCCTGGCTGATTTGCTCAGTGGACAGTGCGGCGGCCTGCGGACTGAAGGGTCCCGGGTTCGATTCCGGTCAAGGGCACAGGCCTGGGTTGTGGGCTCCATCTCCAGTGGGGGGAGTGCAGGAGGCAGCTGATCAGTGATTCTCTCTCATCATTGATGTTTCTCTCTCTCCCTTCCTCTCTGAAATAAAAATGTTAAAAAAATAAAGAATTGCACAGTCTGTCTCAGACCCTCAGGTGTGCTCACTTATTCATCAGACTGAAATGTGGGGGTGTCAGGACAAGCAAGGCTGCAGGGAGCTGTATCTTGTGGGAGTGACCGAAGGCCACATGCGGCACCCACCGGAGGGCAGCTTCGGTTCCGGTGCCCCGTCCTCCTGCTGGGCTGCGCTGTCCCCCGATGCGTCTGCTGCTCGGACTCCTTTTCTCTGCCTGATGGACATCATGGTGTCAACAGCGCCCATGCATGGCTCGTCCCAGGCTCCTGCAGACGCACCTGTGGGGAGCGGAGTGAATGGCCCGCAGCCAGCACCGTCCCCCCGCCCCCTCCGGCTTAGGTGACCTTCCTGGGCACTTTCCCGTCACCCCCAGCAAGGCTCCCGGAGCCCCGCAGAGAACCTACGGAACCCCGAACGAGAACCTATGGAACCCCGCACGGAACCCCACACGAGTACCTACGAAACCCCGCACGAGAACCAAGGGAACCCCGCATGGAACCCCGCACGAGAACCTATGGAACCCCACACGGAACCCCACGTGAGAACCAAGAGCAGCACGTGTGGAGGCACCGGCAGGAGGCCGCGGAGACCCGTGCAGCCCCGCGCTGGTGGCTTCCGGGGCCGCCGTCCCGCCAGGTGACCTCGCCCTGCACTGACCCCGCAGCTGCCCGCCCGCCCGGGGCCCAGCGGCGAGCCCGGCGGGGAGAGTCTGGGCCAGGCGGGGTGTCCGTGCGGGGTCGGTGCCGGCCTAGGCCTCTCTTCCGCCCCGAGCGCTGCCATCGGGCTCCGAGTGGACGCTCCACTAGTGACCTGCCCGCGGGAGCGGAGCCGGCGTGGAGCTTCGGGCGGGGGGGCCCTGGAGGCACCGCCCGCTCCCGAGCAAGAGCCCCCGGACCACCCGCCCGCCCGCTCGCTCCTTCCTTCCTTCGTCCATCCACTCGCTCCTTCACTCATTCGTTCACTCGCTCCTTCCTTCATTCGTTCGTTCACACGTCCATCCACGCGCTCAGTCCTCCGTCCACGCATCCATTCGCTCACGTGCTCACGCATTCATTCATTCACTCACGCATCCATTCGCTCATTCATCCATTCGCTCCTTCGTTCACACGGACCCACGCGCCCCCGGCGCACGCGGGACGAGCCCGGAGGTCCCTCCTGCCGGCGCGGAGGCTGTCGGAGCCCCACTCAGCCACCCCGGGCGCCACGACAGCGGGACACCCGCCGTGGGCCGCGCCGCCAGCTCCCGTTCGCGGAGGCCCGCAAGCTCGCGGAGGGACGGACCTGCGCTCAGCGTCCTCGCGCCGCTCGGGCGGGCAGGGCTGGCGGGCGGGAGGCCGAGGGCGGGGGCGGCGATGCCCGAGGGGAGGAGCGGCGCGCGCCGCTAGGAAATGGGGCCTCAGGCGTCAGCGGCCCGGGAAGGGGCGCGCCAGGGAGGCCGGGCATCCCGGGCCGCTGCGGCCGCGCCCATAGGTTCCCGGCGCCGTCCGTCAGCGTGGCCCCGCCCCTCCCCGTGTGGCGCCGGCCGGAAGGAAGCGGTGCATTTCCGGTGGGTCCGCATCCAAGGTACGCCGCCGGAAAGAGAGCAGCACACTTCCGGTCATCACCCCGGCGGGACCACATTTCAGTTGTGCAGGCAGCACCGAGCCGGTGGGCAGGGGCTTGCACGCTGGTGGTGAGGACGCGAGACGGTCCTGTCCACGGCATTGTTTGCATTTTTATTATTTTTAATCCGCACCCCAGGATGCTTTACCATTGGTTTTGAGAGGGTGGAAGAGGGAAGACAGACAGAAACAGGGATGTGAAACGGCGACTGGGTGCCTCCTGCAGTCGGGGAGGAGCCTGCAACCGAGGTGCGTGCCCGTGACCGGAACCGAATCGGGACCCTTCAGTCCGAAGGCTGATGCTCTATCCACCGAGCCGAACCGGCCAGGGCGCATTACTTAGTGTTTAGTTGTGCGGTTGTTTTAAACGAGTTGCTTGGTTTTCCGTAGCAGCGATGATGAGCAGTGAGCTATGAATTATGGAGACCAGGAGCACTTTATGAAAATTACCGGGGGAGGAGGAGTATTTTAGTCCTGAAGCGGTGCTATATAAAGCTTTCTTCTCGCCCTAGCTCGTGTGGCTCAGTGGATAGAGCCTTGGCCTGCAGACTGAAGGGTCCTGGGTTCGATTCCGGTCAAGGGCACGCGCCTGGGTTGCGGGCTTGACCCCCAGTGTGGGGCGTGCAGGAGGCAGCTGATCAATGATTCATGTTTCTATCTTTCTCTCCCTCTCCCTTCCACTTGGAAATCAATAAAAACATATTAAAAAAAAAAAAAAGCTTTCCTCTCTGGGAGCTTTAAAGCACAGAGCATACTTTCCCTTGTGGGCCGTCCCATCTGTCACAAGTCCTCCATGCTGCTGCCCTCACTGGAGAATAGCCACAGGCAACATGTAAGCCAGGGCGTGACTGCATTCCAAGGACATGTTACCTGCAGACGTGGAGGAGGGCCAGGTTTGACACAGCGCTGTCAGGTCATCCGTCTCTATACAGGTGTCCACCAGCAACTCAACGTGAGCTAGGTGTGCAAGATTTTCCAGTTGTCACGTTAAAAAGATAAAAACGGGTGAAGTAAATTTTAATGACATATTTAATCCAAAATGTCATCATTTCAACATGTAACCAATATAAAAAAACTATTGAGATACCGCCCAATTTTTTGTACCGAGTCTCTGAAACTGTGTCTTGCATACGTAGGGCACACCAGTCGCACCTCGGTGCTCAATGGCCATGCGTCCGGTGGCTCCCACACTGCACCCTCCGTGCTGGGCTTTCCGCAGTGAATCTGGAGCTCGGTGCAGAGTGGAGTTCGGTTCTGGGAAGAGAGGGGACATAGCTGTGGCCCCTACGGAGGCAGGACAGGGGTCACCGCTATTGTGAGGGAACGTTTGGCCTCAGACGTGTGAACACATTGCAGACTGATCATGAGAATTCTCACTTCATATTACACAGTGTAAGAACAAAAGTATCATACTTTAAAAAGATATTAGCGTGTAAGAACATGTAATAAATAACAATGGGTTATTCAAAATGCAATGGGTATTTAATTTTAAAGCATGCCTTTAACATTTATGTAAAGCGTTTTTTGTACTTGTTCAGTAGAAACTTATCTGGCCACTGGGTAAAGCTGCCATAAAACTACTGGTCCACAGTGCGTTAAGAGAAGGCGGCCCAGGGTACTCGGGCACAAATGGACAACCAGACCAACGACAGTCAGATGACGTTCACTTCACGGCCCAACGCAGCTAATCTAATGTGCGGAAACATGTGCTGTGGCCACACAATGGCCGGGGTGGCACAGACGGCGGCGTCTCTGGCCTTCCATCAGGAATGTGACTGTCATGCACAGAGCTAGTCTGGAACTTTGCACAAGAACATAAGGCATGTGAGGATGGGAAGACAGAACGAACGTGTAGCGAGGAAAAGGCTTCCAAGTTGGCTGAATTCTCACCACCGTTTGGTGCTAGTCGGCATTAGTTGGACAAGTTACCAGAGGGCGATCCTGAGCCTTGGTTGACTCCTTGGGAAGTTCATTACCTAAACCTAACTTTCTAAGCGATCAAATCAGTGTTTCCAAGGTAAGTACGGACATAATCTTTTGCTAATAAAGCCTCGAGGCAAGTGTTTTTAACAAAAAGTTTATTACCAAAATACAATATTAAAGTCAATACATGACAAATTTCTATAAAGCAAAATAAATTATTCTAACATTTACAGTATTCCCGAAGGCAGCTGGCGCACGGCAGCCCTGCCTCACTGGTGAGTGGGCAAGCTGTTCTGCCGTGAACACAACCCTGGAGTTTCGGGCATTAAGGCATGCAGCTCGCTGTGCAGGATAATTTCACAAAATGCAAACCATCCCATTTTACACATTGTCAGGATGAACTGTAGTCTTCCCATGTCAGTGTTCCAGAAATGTTCAGACTTTGGCTATAGAAGCAATGCTATAGTGTTACACAATACTCATTTCTTAAAAAAATACATGTATTCATGTCCTTGAGTAGCAAACTCAAATTTCTATTAAATATATTTTATAGAATATGACTTAGAGCACCTTGCTGTACAATAAGAAAAGGTTAAATAAGTGACTATGAAAACTGAAAATATACCGAGTCTCACCAGGGGAGTCTGCTCGTCTTTGCCAAGCCTCGTACACTGCAGGAGATGCAATGTAAACGTGGATGCCCTCCCCTGCTCTGTGAGGAAAGAGAAGTCACACCCGGCCACAGACAGCCCCCTCGAACAGGATGCAAGACCTGGGCAAAGGCTGTACACTTGTCACTACCATGTGGTGCCTCCGATCGCGGAGTGTTGGCACTTCGGGGCCCGGCCAGTGTTTTCTGGATTATTAGGGAAAGAGAAAACAGTGGAGCCCTGAAAAGTGTTACTTATAATGGGCACATGCATCACCTTCCCCTCCCCACCGTTGCCTTATCCAGTAAGTTTATTTGAAAAACTATTTTCACTATCAACTCTTAGAATTATCAAGTGTTCAGAGTGGAGAACAAAAGGTCTTGTACGGCAACAGGTCAGAGCCAGTAAATAAAATGTTACTCCTAGAAAGGGGACTCCTGCTGGTTACTTTAATGCCTATCTCTTCCTCAGTTACCACGGCATGTTTAGTCTTTAGAAATACCCCACTGTCTCTGGGAGGGATATTTGAGGCTGGCCACAACCGATAAGGAGAATGCCTTGGGTAGGTGGTTCCCCCTACAGGCCAGGAGAGAGCTTTTGAGGATTGTCTAGGCCAGATGAACATTAAACTTTGAACTTCTGAGCTAGTTTTTATCCCATGAGCTAGGGATACTTTAAATCCATGATTCCAAATGAAAAATTTAAGTAATAATCAATGGAAGTGGTTTAAGGAAATGAAGAAAGATAATTTAAAAATTCACTGTTGAAATTGTTGGGATTTTTTTGGTTATTCGTATTTTCCAAATGACCACACAAAATTAAAGCCAAGGAAAATTTATAAAACAAAATTCTTCCAAGGTTGTTAATTTTCAGAATCAGAGATTTTTGTAAAGAAATAGTGGGTCATAGCTACAAGCAATGGAGGAGTGGACTGAGTGGTAACAATGTAAGTGATAATAACGGAACTATTTAAAATATTTGAATTTGAAATGAAATGAAATTCTGAAAACAGGAGGCAATGACTACAGATCCACATGCAGTGGGCCTGGGGAACAGAATTTACGGTGAGTAAATCTGTTTTATCTGTGAGATCCACACATCAGGAATGGAGGGGCTTCCATAAGTAACTCACAGCTTCCATCCCTTCTGTGTTTAAGTTGTCAGGAAAGTGAAATGATGCCTGGCCCCACGGAAATAGTTCCTAATGCTACTTAGAAATGGTAACTCGCTCAGGTCACACCTGGACTTTGGGAAGAGCATTCTTCCCTAAAACGTGAGCATCACATTCAAAACCTGTCCTCCCTGTTTCCCGCTGACCGGCGCCAGGGCAGGAGCCGTTCGGGAAGAGCACCAGGAGGCGGCCCGCACGCACCGCCTCCAACTATGGGCACAGTTTACTTCAACCAAACAAGGCGTAAGCAAATGACCAAACCACCAACGCAAAACAGAACACGCGTCCTCTCGACTGGGAAACGCGTGAATACAAAACGTGTAAAAAATGAGAAGCCACATCTATTTGACGGCGTGCTCTAAAGCAAAAGCCCACGGGAGGAATTTCCTAGAAAGGAGAAACCCTGCAGACTCGCCAAATGTTATTTGTTATTAAAAGCTTTAGAAACAACCCGAATTTTCACATTTTAGCCACATGTGGTTACATCTCTTATGTTAAGTGTAACTAAATCAATGAACTCCAGGAAAGAAAAACCTCAAAGCCCTCATTTTAAGGGATTCTGGATCTCACCCTTCTTCCCCCAAATGATTATTATTTAAGAGATCAAACTATTAAAAAAAGATCAAATTACTTCTAAGGTCTGATGATCAAGTGCAAATCTGTATACTTTGTTGTTTTAATAGACTCTTCCAGCCAAATGCTCGGACTGGTTCAGAAGAGGGGCAGACGGCTGTGGAATTGCCGAGACCCCGTGGTGACCGTCAGACCCCGGACGGAACCTCTGGGGAGCACCTGCCCTGGGCTGAGACAGTGTTAGGAACCCCAAGGTCTGGCTGAGTCTAGTGCCCACAGGAAACCCTGTACATTTAAGACAGTCATTTACTCCTTAAATGCCTATTTACAATCTAGGGGTAGATTCAGAGGTCTCCTTTCTTTCCTTTTTTTGAAGGAGTAAAGCAACGTTTCTGAGACGGAGTATCTGACACGTCCTCTCCGTTGGGGAAGACTCAGGGAGAATGCTGGGAAGCCCTCCCTGCAGAGCCGCTGTCTCGCTGCAGGAAGA